AGAGAGAGAGAGAGAGAGAGAGAGAAAGAGAGAGAGAGAAAGAGAGAGAGAGAGAGAGAGAGAGAGAGAAAGAGAGAGAGAGAGAGAGAGAAAGAGAGAGAGAGAGAGAGACAGGTGTCGCCATTTAGTAGTTTTTCTTTCAATAAGTCTGCACTGACTTTTCTTCCACATTTGTAAACTACAATAACAAAAGTACAGGTATCAAAGAGATATGACTAAGTGTCAGTGTGCAAAGAGCGACCTGCCTCTGCACACTGACACTTACTTTGTATTCTAGCGATGAATATTAACAATTTAATACCAGTCTGAAGTGTTAGCCTAGCACACTATTCAAGAAGTATTTTCCTTAAAGAAACAACTGTTGGAAAGATTTTGAAATACGATACAAAACTTTAATAAACTAAGAAAAAAAAATCTTCTCATCTTTGAGGTTTGATAAGGACTTAGAACACTTGGTAATATAATCCACTACTTTCATGAGGCCTTGAAGATTTTTTGATACATTTTAAAAAGTACTGACACCTGCTGTGCATTTGTTGATTGCTCCTCATTCACACGGTGGTTCAACTCGTTTTAGACGGCACCTGGTGGCCCGCAGGGTCCTCTTGATTCGCCCGCGGGCACCTGTTCGCCCGCGAGCACATGATGGCCCGCAGGGTCCTCTTGATTCGCCCGCGGGCACCTGGTGGCCCGCAGGGACCTCTTGATTCGCCCGCGGGCACCTGGTGGCCCGCAGGGTCCTCTTGATTCGCCCGCGGGCACCTGTTCGCCCGCGAGCACCTGGTGGCCCGCAGGGTCCTCTTGATTCGCCCGCGGGCACCTGGTGACCCGCAGGGTCCTCTTGATTCGCCCGCGGGCACCTGTTCGCCCGCGAGCACCTGGTGACCCGCAGGGTCCTCTTGATTCGCCCGCGGGCACCTGGTGGCCCGCAGGGTCCTCTTGATTCGCCCACGGGCACCTGGTGGCCCGCAGGGTCCTCTTGATTCGCCCGCGGGGCAGAACTCATCATCAAGGAGCACCACGTAAACATCATCATTATATTTTTAAATTTAAGAACACATTTGCAAGGATGTATATTTGAAATGAAAATAATAAAACTTTAAAAAGAAATAGTTTATGCATACAGTTTAGCAATCTTGTCTGGGGTCAAAGTTCAGAATCATGCATAGACCACGCCCATCTCTTCAGCGGTGCAGCTACAAGCTAGTTTTACCTCCCAGAGGGGAAGATGGCAGAAAAACACATTTGCACAGTGACTGGGAGGAAAAGGTCTTTCAGTGTTGAAACACAAGTGTCTGAGTCTCATTAGTGTCTGTGGCCACAGCAAAACAACGTGGAGCAACACTTCACCAGCTAACACGCTAGCGTCAGTGCTAACTAGCCCCTGGAGGCTCACGACAGAAGAAGAAGAAGAAGGTCAGCGCTGGAGGCAGCTCTGAGCAGGCAGACGATTTTCATGAGGCATTTTCAGGAGTGGACCTCTTGAAAGAAGCAACGATGAAATATGAGAAAAATATTTGGTTTGAAAAAAGAGTAAAAGATGCGATGATTAGTTAATATTATTTTATATGTACAGCACTTTGTTGCAGCTGTGGTTGTTTTAAAGGGCTTTATAAATAAAGTATTATTATTATTATTATTAAAAATGCTGCAGATCGGAGGATTAATACTAATGTCACATGATTCATTTAAAAACATCACGTTGTTTGTTACATTCCTGATATTTTGTATCTGCAAGCGTTAAGAGTTATTCTGAAATGGTACAAATACAACAGTTAGAGCAAACGGCTTGAGTGGAACATTTTATTCTTAAAGGGTTATTACAACTGTTACAGAAGTTGTTAATAATAAAAGGCATATTTTGAATGAATGTTACAAAACATTAGTACAATATTTATCAAATACACTGAATTTTAAATGTTACACATTGAGTTTAACATAAAATAAATAGTGTTTTATGTTTATATCAATCAACCTTTATTTATACAGGTAAATCCCATTGAGCCTCGAGGACTCATTTACAAGAGAGACCAATCAGTTAATAAATCATCCATCATGCCCCGTGTTTAGGACTGGAGCCAGTCAGCTGCTTCTGGATGAAGGCAGGGGACACCCAGGACAGGCCTCCAGTCTGTCCCAGCAACAGACAAAGAGACATCCATCCATCCATCCATCCATCCATCCATCCATCCATCCATTCATCCATCCATCCATCCATCCATCCATCCATCCATCCATCCATCCATCCTCTTTTACCCGCTTCTTCCATCTTGTGTCACGGGGGTCGAGGGTGCCCATGTCCAGCAATCACTGTGCGAGTGGTGGGGTACACCCTGGACAGGTCTCCAGTCCATCACAGGGACACAATGAGACAAACAACCATTCATTCTCTCACCTAGAGACAATTTAGAGTTACCAATCAGCCTAACATGCATGTTTTTGGTCTGTGGGAGGAAACTGGAGTACCCAGAGAAAACCCACACATGCACGGAGAGAACATGCAAACTCCACCCAGAAAGGCCCCCGGACCGGGGTTTGAACCAAGGACCTGCTCGCAGAGCGGCAGCGGTTCTACCAGTTGCACCACAGTGCTGCCCAAGAGACAAACATCCATCCACAGTCCCAGTCACAGCTAGGAACAATTTAGTCGCACAGAAGAACCAAAAAAGGATTCAAACTGGGGACTCAAGTTCTCACTTGAGAGTTCTAATCACTAATTATCAATAATAATTGATGACATGCTAAACCCTTATTGATAATCAGTGTGTGGAGTCTTTAATAACACACATCAGATCAGCTGTGATCCGGTGGTCATGTACTCACATGTTGGTGAGCCCTGCACTAAACCAAAACTACTCATGGTCTCACTCAGAGGTCAAGAACGTTCTCTACAGCTGCTTGTGCACTGTGTGGGCGCGACCATCATGCAAAGCCCAAGATATCATACACTGCTCTCATTTAAGCATCCGTGCTCAAAACAAGACTGCAAACGTTTTACTTGTGTAAAATTGTAATTAAAACATAAAAGTGTCATGTGAAACGATGAAGCTGTGGTTACCTTGGAAAGGTTCTGCTGCGGAGCTCCTTGATGAAGACCTGACTGCCGTTCTGCACAGCTCTCATGTCTGTGGTTTGCCCAGTGTCATATTTGCTCCAGTTTTTTTTCTTTTTCACTGAAAAGGCAACAAACAGCAACAGTTCGATCACAAACACGTGGCACGTGATTTGCATTTAGCTGACTTCATGCTGCTTTCTTACTACGGTTCACAAACATTTCCAGAGACCAGCCCCACCTGGTGTTTCTGCTCCGTCTCACGCTCGGATGCGAGTGTAAATTACCTAATCTCTGTATTTAAACACACATGTACCGTACACAGAAACAATTTAAAAACTTGTATTAAAATGTGTACAGGCGTGACTGCTTGCAGCACTTCTTCTCAGCTGAGCGCACACCTTGAACAACCGGATGAGACAGCTTTGACACAGCTAATAAAAAGCACCGACGGTCGACCAGAGTCACTCGTGGCTCTGTTCTCCGTCCTCCGTGCACTGAAACCATGAAAGTCCTTCTTCAGTGTCAGAAGTGAAGAGGCTCAAAGACGGTGTCACACACGGGCTCCTTGTTGACTCAACGTCACTGTCCCTCGTGCATCATCCTGCAGCACGTGCATCTTGGAGGATGGGTCAGTGGCAGCATCTCATTGGTCATTAAGGTGACACTTCTGGTCACATGATGACAGAGTAGGTGGAGTTATGGTGGTTAATTGTGAAACCATGACCTAGAATCGTACAACATATGATTACCTGCAGGCAGGGAGCACAGAGCCCCCAGCCTTGTCCAAAGTAAATTGTAGACATTGGCAGGAAGCTGCCATGAGACAACAGGAAGTCTTTCAAAACTAAAATTATTGTGATTATTTGAAGAAATTCCATAAGTAAGATGCTCCTGCATATACCAGGTGGTGCATGGACTGTACTTGTACAGCTCCTCTCTATCTTATCAAGATACTCAAAGCTCTTTACTGCACCATGTGTGCCTCGTTCAAACAGAACTCTACTAGACCTCTACAAGGACTAATCAGAGCTTCATCACATTCACACACTGATGGGACACGTCAGAAGCTATGAGGGGTTCAGTGTCTTGCTCAGGGACACTTCAGCATGTGACTGCTGCTGGAATCAAACCCCCAACTCTCCCACTGGAGGACGACTGCTCTAACCTCTCAACCACAGCTGAAGAGGATTATTATTTATATGCAAATAGATTCCTAAAAAATAAACTAACACATGTAAATAGTTTAGACATTTATTGTGTACAGTTATAACTGTTAATAAATGTGTCTGTGTGACAAGTGGGACAAAACTTTGACTCTAATATATTTTTATTACATTATGTAATAAAAATCAAGACATAGATCAAATATTGCAATTTTGAGCATGCATCAGGATATTGACATATTAATTTTGGTCCATATCGCCCTGCCCCATCTCAGTAACTTCCTGACGCTCACTAAGATTTTCCTAAGACAGTGCTGTGCGTTCATGGCTGCCCCCCCCCCCCCCCCCCTTAGAGACAGGAGTTTATGACACGGACGCCGCATGCCCTCAGGTAACCACATTTACTAAGACTTTTGCTCAGGGTTTCAGATTCCCTACCACAACTCCACCCATTCTGTCATCATGTGACCAGAAGTCTAACCTGAGTGACCACTGAAGTACTCTAAAGGACCATGCCCCAAGATATTAGACGTACATTCATTTCTTCATGTCATTCCCGTATCGTTACTGTATTTTGAGCTCAATGCACAAATCTGTTCATTTGTTCAGCGATAATGGAAAACGCACAAAGAATTTCTTATGATGCAGCTTTCCCCCTCCCCTTCCGTCATGAGAGCTCAGCGCAGAAGTCGTCAAATTTATTTTTAAAGCAGTCAGTCAAGACTGATACATATTTAAATCAAAGTTTAAAAACATTCTGTGTATGATAAATGTGTTTAAATACCAGTATCTCATTTAAGCTCGTGTCCGAGCATGGAGCGGAGGAGACAACGGGAGGGAGGGGCTGTTACTCCTTCCTCCCTCCTCCTCATATGAGCTTTGCTGAGGAGAAATCACGTCAAATTTATTGAAACTGTACATTTAAAGACACCAGCTGTTACTTAAAGTGTTTAACAATAAAAATTAATGGTACTGATTTAATGAATATTTACCGTATTTTACCAATACTATTTGACTTCTGATCACATGACCTACATAAGACTTCTGGGTAATATTTACAGTTTCTGATTTTTAAATAATTTTGGTTCCGTAAGTGTTTGGCACTGTTCTGTCCAGTGATTACGCTTGGATAGTTGTGTTCATTCTGTGCGTTGAATGGTTGTAACCATGAGTCAGACAGTGAAGCTTCATGAAGACTTGGGGCGATCATGTAGTCTGAATGTGTGCTAAAAGCAAGCTATCCTCTGTGAAACACCCGCCGGTGGATAATTCCTGTACTAAAAAACAGAAAGCTGAACATTAATGTGGAGCTGGCTGGGTACACATCCTGAGACTGAACAGTGAATGCACGCAGCTAAATAACTGGAGCGTCTTATTTATGGACAAAATTATGATTTATTTCATATTCAGTATGTGCAGCTTAGAGACAAGTGCATTCTGTAGCCCAAGAATTACTGTACTTGCTGAAACAGACAAACTTTGCTAATAAACGATCTAACCAAATTCCTTGACTACAATCCTGTTTTATACGTCTACATGACTGTTGTTTTAGTTTTTTTTTAACTGTTAGGATTAAATGTGCTCTTACAGGTATGTTTTCAAGTTAATTTAATTTCTGCAGGCCATTGGTGCTTCGTCAGTCACTGTGGTGTTTCAACCCTAAAGAACGAACGAACGAACGAATGAACGAACGAATGAACGAACAAAAGAAAGAACGAAAGAAACAACGAAAAAAGAAAGAAAGAGTGCGAGGAAGGGAGTAGGGCTGAGTACTGATCCGAGGTTCTTTTATAGCTCCGACCGAACTGCACCAGTCGATGTATGTATTGAAAGGTCACTCTTTTATCGATGTCAAGTTTCGGTATTGGCTGGAACGTGTCACGTGGTTTCAGCACGCGGGCAGGTAAAATGCAGACATATGACAAACAGACTACATGTTTACACCCAGAGCTGTATAGAGCTGCTGTACAGCTGCATGTCTATGGTGCTGGTTACGTCCACAGACGGGGTTCACGTGTGCAGAGCATGTGGCGTCGAACAGCTTCAATTTACGAGCAGAAAGTTGCTCCGTGTTTTTCTGCGAGGAGAGAGAGGACAGCAGCCTCTCCTCCTCCTCTCAGCATTAAAGTCAGCCTATGAGTGTTGAACGGACTGATTCATCATCTCCACGATTGGACTCCTCTTCATCAAAGAACTCCGAGGACGGAGCAGTGTCTGGGATTTCAGCTGGTGAGTTACGTTTGTTAACGTTACTGCAGCTTAATACTTGCATCGCGGTGATTTAAACTAGGATCCATTTAACGCCAACTTTAAGATATGAGTGTGTAGCTTTATTTTATGGCTATCTAAGTAGCTAGCTAAAATCAAACGCTAACTAAAGATTGACAGTAACAGATAGTTAGCTTGTACCAATGTGCTCATCCATTGGGTCAGCTGCTTAAACAGTTCAACTAATGTTCACTGTTTGTTTATGTTGTTCTCACAGGAGGTTCTGACCCTGATGTGAGGACGACAGACGAAAGAAAAGTTAGGGAGATGATCAGAGCCCTAAACCCCAGAGAACCACAGAGAAGATTCAGGCAGAGACACAGAGGTAGGAGGGAGGGTACTGAGTGAGTGGGAAGATGCTTGGGTGGGTCAGTAGTTAGTTAGTTAATTAGTTAGTTGGTTAGGTGGCTGGCTGACAGGAAGGAAGGAAGGAAGGAAGGGTAATGACTGAGCGAGTGGGTTGACAGTAGTGATGAGCAAATGAAGTTTTTATGAAGCATTGAACCAGTTGGGCCAATTGTTTCAAAAATAGGTTCATTTGTTGAAGCTTCAGTTACACTGACCTCTTGTGGCAATTTGCAATGCTGCTGTCAAATTAGGCGTTATGATTTTAGTGTCACACACCAAGAACTTCATGACTAGTGTTAAAGTAACTACTTTACTGTGGTAAAAACAGATTTTTTAAATTCATCAACTTTCTATGTTGTCTGGTTTGAAAATGTATTCATGCTTACACGTTTTTGAATAAAGATTGATAAATGTGCATTGAAGAGATTTAATAAAAATGTTGCAATGGTATTGTGCTTGTGTAAGTGTGACAGAGTCAGAGTCTTTATTATTCTTAAAAATATCAATGAAATGACGTCTCCAAGCTTTTGTTTCATACTACCATCACTAGTTGACAGTTGGATGGATGGAAGGAAGGGTAGTGAGTAAATGGGTAGGTGTGGGTGGGTTGGTGGTTAGATGGATGGATGGATGGATGGAAGGATGGATGGATGGATGGATGGATGGATGGATGGAAGGATGGAAGGATGGAAGGATGGAAGGAAGGAAGGAAAGAAGGAAGGGTAGTGAGTAGGAATGCATGATATAAACGGTACACGGTAGAAGTGATAGAAATTTATCCTACGATAGAGATCTGTCTTCTACCGGCTAACTGCAGTAACGCTGTGTCTGAAGTAAAATCAGAGCAGTCAGATTTAATCGTTACTTTTTTTAGATGAAAACTGTGCGCAAGTGGCGTTAAAGTCTTTTCTTCGAGGGCTAAGTAGCGAAGCTACAAGCTAACTACGTCCGGCTTGCCGTAGTGTTGCTGTATTCTGACGCATGCACAAAATGCTGAGTTCCATCGACAGTTGTTGTTTTTTTCGTCGAAAGTTAAAGTAAGCGTTGGTCATCTTTAGAGAAACCTGCTCTCTGATCTGTAAAAGAACGCTGTGTTGTGTGATTTTACTGAGAGACCCTCTGGTCAAAGCCACAGACTCATTTTGTGTCAACTCTCCATTAAAGTAGGAGGCGCCCACTAGAGGTTTGGAGGTGAAGTGTTTCAGTTGCTGCTCTGTTGCTCTTCATTTATTAAGACTGGAAACTGTTGAGTTAACAACATATTCTTTTGTTTAAAACATATGGCTAAAACTACATTTGATATATTTTGCACTGTTTTGCACTACAAGCAAGAAGCCTAATACTTGATTTGTTTATTATTTTAAAACTCTCTGGACCTAGTAGTGGAATTTTCTTAATTCAAAATATATGAAGGCAAAAGGACACCCTACGCTTTTTAAAAATTCCTATAAAGTTTTATACAAAAACATATTGCGACATATATCGTTATCACCACCCTTGACAATACATATCGTAATATGAATTTTATGCCATATCCCACATTCCTAGTAGTGAGAGAGTGTGTGGGTAGTTGGTGGTTGGAAGGAAGGAAGGGTAGAGAGTGAGATGGTAGGTGTGATGGGTAGATGAATGGATGGATGGGTAGATGAATGGATGGATGGATGGATGGATAGATGGATGGATGGATGGATGGATGGATGGATAGATGGATCCATCCATCCATCCCCTTATCTGTGCCAGGTTGCTAAGACAATAGGTGCAGGAGGAAAACAAAGCAAACAAACTTCCATCTCCTCAGCAACATTCTCCAGTGTTCCCTGCAGAACCCAAAAGTGTTCTCAAGCCAAAAGTGAGACAATCCCATCAGCAAGCTCTGATTGAATCTCCTCTCTCCTCTCTCCCAAACTTTGGGAACCAATGATTTCATAAAAACTTGTTTTTGGAATTGGAAGGACTTTATATCGTGTTAGAAAACTGAAAAATAGTTATCCAAACAGATACACTGTAACATTAAGAAGTAACATACTGTTTGTGTAGCTACAAAACTTACATGTGGACTTGCCGTGGATCTTCTCACAGTTTGGGCAGTGATAGATGTCGATATCTGGAGCATCATCTTCATCCACTCCAACACAGCTGGAATGAGAACAGCAGTACTTTTTAATGTTAAAGAACATAACCCTTAAGAACCTGAAGCCCCCAGTATACTCCCGCATTCGTCCGTACGCGGAGGTACGCGCGTACCTCCACAGGGCATGTCCGCGCAATGCTCAATTTTTATGTCCGCGTACGCGGTGTCGCACAATAAACTGCCCAGCGACTGTTTTGTATGCGACACCAGTGTATTAAATTCCTCTTCTTCATCCCTGATCTGGCCTTTTCTTTTGCTTTTTTGCCAAAAGGCAGCGATCTCTTCCTCCTCCGTTGATGCCATGACTGAAATGGTGAGAAATGAAGGAATTTGTCATGAAAGAATTAAAATCAGTCCCAGCGTGGCTGCGGGAGGGTCTGGAGATTCTGTTGGGCTGATCTGATGCGTGGGCTGCAGGGCGAGCGCTCCCTGTTTTTTTATTTTATTTTTTGTTTACTTTTTATTAACAACATATAAACACAGAACACCGCTGAGGCTGCCAGCTCTCGTTTTTTTTTTCCAACCTGTCAATCAATCTAGTAGGCGTGTCAGCAAATGACCAATCGGCAACCTCAATTTGTCCTGAAGGTAAACGCCCCTTGTCTGCGAAGCTGCTCTGCAGCCGCTCAGGGTGTACGCTCGAGTATGGTCTCAACCCTCTGCACGTACGTGGGCGTATACTGGGGCTTAAGATTCATTGTTATTGTGGATGGATCACTGTGGGGGAATGTGCACAGAGGAGATGTGAAACATATAAACAATACTATATATATGGTGGCACATATTTACACACACACAGACACACATAAAAACAAATTAAAGTCCTAGCTCACCCTACTCTCCCACTTGGGCAATTCAACATTACTTCAAACTTTGATCCTCTTCCAGAGACCTGGACGCTTGAGGGTTTTGTGTAGTATCTTAGCTGTTCTTAGGAATGCACTCTTCTGGACAGAGATATCTGAGGTTGTTCCTGGGATCTGTTGGAGCCACTCTTCTAGTTTGTTTCGTCAATGACCACTGGGACTACTGATACCTTGATTCTCTCCAACTTCTGCATTTCTTTTTTGCTTCCCTTGGTATATCACAAGCTTCTCATGATCCTTCTTCCCAATGCTACAATCTCTTGGGATTGCAGGACTCAGCTTCCCAGTCCAGCTCATCTCAGCCGCCTGAGGAAGGGTTTGGGGGATCATGGTATTGAAGGCAGACGTGAAGTCCATAAAGAGCATACAGACGTAGGAGTCCTTCTGCTCCACGTGGGTGAGAGCTGTGTGGACTAGAGGAGATGGTGTCCTCTGTTGATCGGTTCTTACAGTATGCATACTGGTCAGGGTCCTCACTGATGTTAATGGTTGTTTTGATGTAGGTCATGACTAGGGCAGAGTACTGAACCAAGGTTCTTTTATGGCACCGACCGAACTGCACCGGTCGGTGTATGGATTGAAACGTCACTCTTTTTTCGGTGTCAAGTTTTGGTATTGGCTGTAAGGTGTCACGTGGTTTCAGCATGCAGGCAGGTAAAACGCAGACATATGACAAGCAGACTATGTGTTTACACCCAGAGCTGTATAGAGCTGCATTACCTAATCTATGTATAATGTATGTCTATGTTGCTGGTGACGCCCACAGATGGGGTTCATGTGTGCAGCGCGTGTTGTCGAATGGTTTCAACAACACACGAGCAGAAAGTTGCTCCGTGTTTCTCTGCAAGAAGACAGACGGACAGCAGCTTCCTCCTCCTCTCAGCGTTAGTCAGTCTCTGTGTGTGTGAAACGAACTGAATCAACAGTCCACAGCCGGACTCGTCTTCATCAAAGAACTCCCGAGGACGGCTCTGTGTCTGTGTTTCAGCTGGTAAGTTTAAGTTTGTTAACGTTACTGCAGCTTAACACGTACATCGCGGTGAAATAACGCTAACTTTAAGATATTAGTGTGTAAATTTATTTTATCTATGTAGCTAGCTAAACTCAGAAGCTAACTAAAGATTGACAGTAACATAAATCTTAGCTTGTAAAACTGCTCATCCATCCAGTCAGCTGCTTAAACAGTTCACTAATGTTCACTGTTTATGTTCATGTTCTCCTCACAGGAGGTTCTGACCCAGATGTGAGGACAGACAGAAAAGTGAGGTGGGGCCACAGGACAGTCACAAACTTTGTTGTTAAAAGTTTGCTGTATTTTTCTACAGCGGAGCTGCATGGTGGAGGTAAATTAAGCTGTAAAAGATTTTGTTGACCAGTTAAATTTTTATCTCTCAGCCTTGATAATGTTTTTTGATCAATAATAACACAACCATGTTATTGTTAATGTTTTGTTCTCATGTCAATTAGGGAGATGATCAGAGCCCTGAACCCCAGAGAACCACAGAGAAGATTCAGGCAGAGACACAGAGGTGCAGAATCTGCATCAACCCTAACCTCAGTGAATCCAGTGACCTGCTGGTGGAATGTGAGGGACAATATGTCAGTGCTATCAAATTGACAACCAGGTATCTGTGTGTGCAACAAGCATCATCCACACCAGTGTTTCAACCTACCATTATACAGGTGGGGTGCCCCACCCTGTCAGCAGAACTGAGCACCCCGCCTACCAAACTGAACTTGCCTCTCCCACCCCCACCCAGCACTGACATATCACTAAGGTAGCAGCACAAAATACATGCTCTCTGGCTAAAAAGCCAAAGGCAGCACTCACATTGCCTCTTCCCACATGTTGAACGCACCCGCCCCCGCTCAAAAACTGTTAGTACAAGCTGCGCTCAGACATGTCTTCGTCCCCCCCATCAGCAAAAATCACGGATGAGATGAGCACCCCGCCATGGCAAGCTAACTAGGGGAAACATTGCACACCCTCAGAGCAAACATTTCCTACTGCTGGAGACACCATCAGCCAGGAGCGAGCTTGTTTGTGTCCAGAGAAAGCAGACATGTTGATTTTTCTGTAATAATCCACTTCAGCAGCACCGACTTAACGATGTTAGTAAGCGTGTGAAGCAGCATGCAAGGGGCTGCGTGAAGTTGGTGGCGCAAACGGGCAGAAAAAGCAGAACTACACAGATTTTCATGTCTTACAGTGAGGGGTAGCGCAACATCAATAAAGCAGTGGCTTATCATATCACTAAAGACACGGTCCTTAGTGACTGACAAGATGGCTAACTTTAGCTGTCTTGTTCCACAGTTGTGACTGGGACGGTGGCTTTAGCGATATGATAAGCCACTGCTTTATTAATGTCGCGCTACCTCTCCCTGTTCCTCTGAAGCTAAATGAGCTTTGACCTGTGGTTTGTTTCAGGGAAGGAGGCTGAAGTCAACAGTCAGCGCTGCAACTTCACACAAACTTTATACTCCACTTATAGCGCTGTTTTAAACTGTGAAAAAGATTTGTAGTGCTGACCATTTGTCAGGACTTGTTTTCAGCATTGTCTACAGAAAATAAATTTCTGCTGCTCATCTGACAAGTTAAAACCCAAACCATCTCCAAATAACAGCCGTTGTTTTTCTTTTTGCTCAAGCAGCTAAGCTGCTCTTCAATAGCCTCTCCTGTGTTTTACTTCTTGTGCTAAACTTCCACCCACCTGGGGAAGCAGGAAACGGGGGAAGCCCACGCTGGTGAGGGTCTGGGTTTGTATTCAGTGAGGGAGAAGGAAGGGGCCACGTGCAGTTGGTGCAGCCGGGAGAAAAAGAACATGGATTTTCAAGTCTAATAATATTTGATGGTTACGAAGATGCATCGCCCAGCCCTGCTCTCAATGTGGTTCCAAATATAGGCAAGCTTAGCACTTCCAAACTGCCACAACTTGTTTTTGCTAAAATACACTGCGGAATTGAATTGTAGATATTTATGAGTAATTACAAACACCTGAAACTTAAAACTCTCACTGTGAGAGAACTTTAAATAAAGTTAAAGGAGATAGACACCTTTGCTAAACTCTGGGGGCTACAAATATTCGTTTTTTTAGCATTGATATTGTTTAAATCTAAGCACTAAAGCTGCAGACACAGCCTGTCTCACAGAAAAAATGTACGCGAGTTGTGCACGCTCCCGCAGCAGCACTCTCTCTCTCTCTTTAGGACCAGGAGTTTGGAGACGTTTGCAAGGTGGACATGTTTGTACGACAATGACAATGCTCAAAACAAATTAGCGTTCATTACAAAGTCAGATTTCAGAAACAAAAGTCCTGGGGAGGTCAGTGGCAGTCCCAGGTCTGAGCAGCTGATGGGTCAGGACAGGAACTGTCACCTGCAGTCTCTCACCTGGGCTCACCATCAGAAAGTATGACTCGGCCTACTCTGCTTTGATTGGGTAAAACTATGACGGTGATTCTCTATTTGTTGAAAGCAACATCAATTTAATCCCTATAATATAATTACATTGAATTGAAAAGCCAGAGGAAGGTCAAAGAAGAGATATATGGATGCAGTTAGAGGACATGGAGGGAGGACAGAGGATGCAGAGGACAGAGCGAGACGGAGAAGAATGACTTGATGTGGAGACGCGAAGAGGGAAAAGTTGAAAGAAGAAGAAGATTATAATTAGAATGAATGGCTTTAACAAGGTGACAACAAAACACACTTATTTCCTCCCCTTTTTCACTTTTTACAGATGACAGAATCTGTCCTGGTCACATTCAACATGAGAGAAATCTGTTGTGAAGACTGAGAACTTTAATTCCTGGGTGGAGGTATGCACTTGACAGAAGAAGAATGAAAGTCAGACTTTGCAAGACCTGTACATGTATGTGAATGAGAGGGAGGCAGGTGGAACATAGACTACAAGGAGCAGAGGATACAAAGGTGTCAAAGTACAAAGTACTTCAAGTACTTAGGGTTAACTGTCTGGGAAAATGGAGGCTGTGATAAAGACTAGAGTCAGACAGGCTGAGTGGACAGTAAAAAGTTTCAGGAGTGATTTGTGACAAAGGTTAACAGAAAATATCAAAGGAAAGGATTCCAAAAGAGTAGTGAGACCAGCTACGTTGTATTTGGAGACAGGGGTGTTGACAAAAAGACAGGAGACAGAACTGGAAGTGGCAGAAATGAAGATGTTGAGTTTCTCCTTAGGAGAGACAAGGATGGATCAGATCAGGAATGAGATCATCAGAGGTACAGCACAGGTTGAACAACTGGGAGATAAAGTTAGAGAGGACACACTGAGATGGTTTGGACATGTCAGAGAACAAAACACGTGAGAAAACGTACACACATATATAAAGTATACATACTGTATACATCACAGAGCTGAAACTCTACACCCAGCTCCTAAAATCATAAATTAAACATTTCTGTAACTTACCTACCTCTTGCATAAAATAACAAACTTTTTGTTAGTATTTAACTTGGCCTTTCATGTAACTAAAATATTTCTGAAAAATGTGATTTAAACAATACATTTTGTTCAGTCATGGAAAAGTACTTGAATATTTGCTATAAACAAATACAGAGAAAAGGAAAATTCATTTTAAAATGAAGAATGCATATTGTTGACCATGCTTTATGCCAGAGGTCAGTTTATATTAAGACAGTGGTTTTCAAACCATTGTTGTCCTTAGGAGAAAAAAACTGTTTGCATTATTAATTAATTTGGGTAAGAGATAGTCAAGTTTGCTTATTTTGTTATAAAAATACCACTCCATTTTCCAAACTTGCAGTTAAAAATCAATAGGGATGCACAATATTATCGGCATGGTATCGGCCGATATTAGCATTAAAGTTCAATATTAGACATTGGCCATTCCATTAAAATAACTTGCCGATATAAAACGCGCTGTTTTTGCCTAGGGGCAGCACAACGTGATGACGTTACAGCACAACATGATGACGTTACAGCACAACGTGATGACGTTACAGCACAACATGATG